TAAATTTTGCAGAAGAATTTTGATATTTATAAAAATAATTGAAATTATGTGGAGAATATAAAAAAAATTATGAAAATAATTGAATTTCTGCGAAGAATTTTATAAAAATCTTTTTAAATAATTTTTTTTTTAATTTTACTAAAAATGTATTTTAAATAATTGAATTTCTGCGAAGAATTTTATAAAAATCTTTTTAAATAATTGTTTTTTTTTAATTTTACTAAAAATGTATTTTAAATAATTGAATTTCTGCAAAGAATTTTACTACTTTTGAAAATAATTAAATTTCTAGAATGGATTTTATTGTTTATAAGATAATTGAAATTTTTTGCAAATAATTGAATTTCGGAGAATAGTTTTATTATTCATCAAGATAATTGTAATTTTCAACAGATTGTTTTAAAAATGTTTAAAAGTAATTGAATTTTAAAGAAGAATTATGATATTTATAAAAATAATTGAAATTGTGTGGAGAATTTAAAAAATTTTTTTAAAAATAATTGAATTTCCGCGAAGAATTTTCTTCCTTTTGAAGATAATTGAATTTTGTAAAAAAAATTATCAGAACTTTTGAAAATAATTAAATTTCCATGATGAATTTTATTATTTATAAAATTTTGACGAGAAATATAAAAAAAATTTTGAATACATATAATTGAATTTCTGCGAAGAATTTGATCACTTTTGAAAATAATTGAATTTCAGAGAATAATTTTATTATTTGTACCGATAATTAAAATTGTGATAAGAATTTTAATAAATTTTTTTTAATAATCGAATTTAGGAGAAGAATTTTATTATTTATAAAAATAATTTACATTTTAAAGAGAATTTTTAAAAAAATGTTAAAAATACCTAGTTAAAATTTTGCTATGAATTTTATTCCCGATTGTTTGATATTAAAGTACCTACTACATTTATTTGTAAATATTTATTACAGAAGATATTTAAAATACAAGCGCACCTTTACTAAAATAGAAAAGTTGTCAAAAATGTACGATTTAATGACAAAAAGCTGATTAGAACCATTATTCAATAAATTACTGAATTATCGAAACTTTAAATTACAATAAAAATCAAACGGCTATACTAATTTTTCAAAACCCTTTAGGGGTTTTACTCTGCTGGGGTAGTACTTTTATTCCATTAAAGTCAAGTCTTAACCCAAAAAAAATTTTTCCAAAATTGTTACACTATGTAATCACAGAGTTCGTTAGAGAGCATTTACACCTTCGGTAAAAATTTCCAGAACGGAAAATTTTTCATTGGAGTAAGAGAGACAGACTGTGTATCTGACTCTCTTACTTTAATGCAAATTTTCCTTTCTGGATAATTTTTACAGAAGGTGTAAACGCTCCATTATAAGTGTATAAATAACTTTATTTAGTGATTTATTTAGTACCTAATAACATTTAATTAAATATTTTTTATGAAAATAGTAATTATTATTAAAATAACAATAGTATTTGGTCTAAATCATTTTCAAATTATTTTTTAATTCCTGTGGTTTTGCTTTGACATGAAAAGCACGATTTTTCACTATAGGTACATATTATTTGTGATGATTATAACGACTCACGGTATTTGGCGCACAAGTTCAAAACGTTATCCAATTACCGTGACACCAAAAAACGTCTTAAATTAAGACGTTTTTGGTGTTTAAGACACTAAAAACGTCTCAAAATAAGACACCTCTTTTTACAGTGATAGTCTTTGTTGGTCATAATCTTTAAAAAATTAAAGTAATATCGAGAAAATTTTAAGTCTTTAGAATTGTTTTTCACTTTTTCTTTTTTTTACTATTTAAAGGTTAAAAAACTTATAAGTTAACAAAAAACAATAAGGGTTGAGCAGTATTTTTTTGTAATAATTTTGAATATTAATAATTTTATTGTATTGTTATTTGATTGGTATAGAATTTTCGATGCAGAGTGTCGAAGCCAACTTCATGATGATTTTCTTTCTATTTATTTCGTTAATAAATGTCAAAAAGACAGCTGCATAAAATATACATCAAAATCAAAACATTCAACATTATTATAATAATTATTACTTTCGATTAAAAATATTTCACAATTGAAGTGCTCATTTCAAAATTTTTCGTGATTTTCATCATTCAAATATGACAATTGTCATAAATGGATATTCATATAATGCAGATCCGAGGAATGTGAATATCTTATAAGGTATTTAATTAATTTCTAAAAAGTTATGATTTCTAATATTTATTTTCCTAAAATTTGAAAATTTCCATAATTTTAATAAAAGTTAGAAAATTGTTTTAAAAAAAACTAAGATTAAGAAATAAAAATTATTTTGTATATTTTCTGTTTCTCAATCAGAGTTTTGTTTATAAAGTTATAAATTTCTTTTTTAAATAAAAGAAAATTTTTTTATTATTTTTTATCACAATTTATTAACAAAATTCTGCTTTTCTTGGGAATAAAATTATAATTTTCATCATTTTTATACTAAAAGTTCCAAAATTAATTTATTTATAAAACACTTTTACAGAAAATTTGAAATATCTTTAGGAAAAAAATCCTTATAATTTCTATTTCTTAATTACGATTTTTAACTTCATTTTTATCTTTTTTTAAAAGTTTTGTTAAAAAATTTGCATAATTTATATTTTCTATTATAATTTTTTAACGAAATCTCAAGTATTTATTTTTAAAGAATTAAAAAATTTTCGTAAATTTAATTTTCTAATTATATATCTATTGGTCGTCATTGCAAAAATTGAATATTGTTAGAAATTTTTTTTGAAAATTGTCTTTATAATAAGAAAAAGAAATTTTTAGACAATGACCTTTATTAGAAAAATTTTTTTTAGAAATTCACCTTTATTAGAAAAAAATTTTTTAGAAAATAAAAAATTAGAAAATTCGTTTTAGAAAAACTGTACCCCAATCCAAATTTATGACCAATTCATCATCCAAGTTTTTTTAATTATACTTCATTTAAAATTTATTCATAGGAATTTCTAAACAACAGTTGCCAAATTATATATGAGAGTAAGAATTTTTTAAACGTACCACCTAAAATTCAAAAAATTTATTTTTAGCCAAAATGTTATTTTTTTCTAATAGTATTATATATAAAAAAACACTATATTAAAGGATTTGACAAAAAAATGTGTTATTATTATAAACAATTAAAGTTTTTGGACACTTTTTTTAAAAACATTAATTAAAAAATCTTTTAAACCGATTTTAATGATCCAAGAGGCATTCTTTTTTATTTGAGTAAAAGTTTTGAATAAAATTTTTGTTGTAAAAAATATTGAAATTTAATAAATAAACAAATTATTTATTTATAACAAATTAGCAGAAAAGCATGTTCCCAATCGAATTTTAAAATGAAAAAAATAGTACTTATTCTTTGAATAACACTGAGTAATATTCTGTTGAGAAAAAAAATGGCACGGCTTGGATAACTGACTTTTTTAAACATTGTTAATCCCAAGCAGGTCAGGATTTGCATGCGGCGTTACGTGCAACGGCCCTTTGACGCGAGAATATAAAAGAATATCAGAGGAATATCAAAAAACCTATTAAAGTAATGTTTAAGTGTTTCTTATGTATGAAAAAAACTATAACAATTTGTTTAATTGTTTAAACAACTAATTGTTGTTATTTTTTTCATAAACTGTACTTAGGATTATAAATTTATAGTTTTTTTTCAATTGTGCAATTTTTTATGAAAAAAATTCTATTGATTATAAAAATTACTTATTTAAAAATGAATATAAATTAAAAACCGCTGCCAAGTTGTATATTTTTTTGTATAATTTTGGTGTTCATTTCATGAACACTTCACTTCCTCATAGAGATAAAAATAATATAAATATATGAATAACTTTTTATAAATATGGTAAAAGTGATTGAATTTTGGGTCAATCAATTTATTTTTAAATACCCTACAAGATAGTTACAATAATTTAATAGTTAAACAAAAATTTTCAAACAAAAATGTTGAGAAAATGTCATTTTTCACAATTTTTGGTTTTTAAAATACCAATAATTTAGAAATTAATTATCGAATTAGGTAAATTATTATATGTAATTTCCTGCATTAATTTTTGATTTTTAATTCAATTAAAAAAAATTCTAAATTCGAATATCCTAAATATTTACTGTTTTCACACAACTTTCATTTTTTTAATGCACTATTATTAACAATAACACTGACACAAATATCTTTTATTAGTATATAAACGATTATAATCTATATAAACCTTAAAACAATAACGCAATTTAACCGAAGAAAATTTTGGGGGGTAACGGGGAGCGAACTTGGGTCCCGCTGGACTAATTCCATCTCTTATGAACCCAGCCACTCGAAGTCCCAAAACACTACTGTGTAAATTTTAGGATTTAATAAGATCTAAATGTGGGGCATGACATGCCCAACCACATACTCGGCGAATTAAGGCACTTTTCCTATGTGACGGCCGAAATTCTAGGCTTTTTTCAGGAATTTTTTTTCACAGAAAATAAAATATAATTCTATAATTTATTTTACATGTTATAATTGATGTCTAAAAATATACAAAAAAAATTTATAATAATAAATAATAATAATAATAATAATAATTATTAATAATTATTAATTAATAATAAATAGTAATAATAATTAATAATTATTAATAATTATTTTTATGTGTCAAAGGCGACTCCTTTGAAAATGCACGGGTAAACGGTCGCAACGATAACTTTCTTCAGTATTGTCTGAAATAAAAAAATCAAACGTAGTTTTACTCAGTAGGCTTACTGTTACCGTGTGAACCTCAATGAACAATTTATCTTAATAAATAACAAAATGGAGGACTTTTAAAATAAATTTCAAAAATCGCTTGTTTTTTTCGTTATTAATTGTTTAAAAAAATAGGAAATTGTTTATGTAAAATCATGACCGAGGTTCACACGATAGCTACTCATGTATAGAATAATGCCTCCAAATTGCAAACCGATCGGTTAAATAGATTTTGAGTAAACCTTGCCACCAGTTAGAAAAAATGGTTTTGAGAAAAACGCGTTTAAAGTTTTGGTAGCTGTAGCTCGCGCCCGTGCACTGTTTAATTCTACGCGCGGTAACTTTGTTAGTTTTTCAAATATCTGTCTAAAACTTTTACATGATATTTCTAAGATATTGTACTTAAAAAAAAACAAACAAAAAAATAATATAAAATGAGAAATTTCAAATCCAGATGTGCACGTCGAACCGGAAGATTTCGCTGCAAATTTACATTGGTCAAAGAAAATGGAGTATACGTTAAAGGAAAACAAAATCGACATTCTTGCAACAGTTTCAATACATGTGCCGAAAAGAATAATACAGCAAGAAAAATTATGATTGAAAGATGCAAAGATCTACCACTCGAATTAAAAAGCATTTTCGATAGCGTTAGAAGAGAGTAAGTTTTTATCGTAGAATAGAACGGGGCGATGCAGCCAATTGCTTCTTATTTCTGCATAACTTTTTGAAATAGTGAGCCGTTTATAATTTATAATGCTTATGGTAGTTTACTTTGGATGCTAGTAAATGGGCGTTATTGCTGCAGCAATTTATAAGTGACAGCATCATTTATAAAATCAGACTTTTGGATGTAACTTTTCTAAGAGTTATTTTTATGAAAAGTGTTTTTGAATGCAGAATTCAGTGCTGAAAACGATGGAGTAAATGAAATTGTAATATTTTTAATATTAAGGGTTTTATTAATGTTTTTTTGAAAAAGTACTCGTGGGGTTAGGTAGCCAACGCTAATAAATTTTTCGTCTTTTTGTGTTGATTCTATTGGTTCTTCTAAACGTTTGTTTCTTTTTTTTCTACATTTTTTTTAAGAATAACAAATTTATATTTCCTTAAAATGTTAAATTACATTAATGTTATTATAATATTATTCAAATGTAAATTTTTTTAACAAAAACAGTAAATTAAGGACAACTACCTTGTTATAATTCACCAATTTTAACTTTAAGTTATGTTTATTAACTATTAAAACAGTTGGCAGCCTCACCCTACGTTTTTGTAAATATGCCAAAAACGTAATCTTTTGGAAAAACGATTGTCGAAATTTTTAATTGCAACCCACGTCAAAATGTTCTATGGCAATTTTTTAACTAAAAAACGAGCTTTTTAAGGAAGCATTAAAATTAAAAAAAAACTATTCAAATAACTGCCTCGCAAAACCAAAATGTGCCATCTTGTCTGCCTCGACTCGTTCTATTCTACTTAATTATAATTGATTGATATGATTAAGATCCTAATATTTTCTGTTACCCTTAAGGACAGACTCTTATATTCTTACGTTTTTGGGGTCTGTGAAACCGAATATGACCATGAAAAATTTTGTAAATTGATCATTTTCCCGCTACCACCCTCTTTACACCCCCCACACGGGAGTCAGAAATTTCCCTGGTTAAAAAACCGGACAAATTTAAGACTAATTCGAAATTTGTCCGAAACAGTGCGGTTTATGGTCAAGCTTTTGTCAGCCGAAATTAATCCGAATAAATCCGAATAACAACAACAATAACTGTGAATAACTAGTAAATTTGGAAGTTGGTCCCATGAAGTCCGAAATTAATCAGTTAATTTTAATTAGTGAATCCGGAATTAGTCCGAAACAGTCAAAAATTAGTCCGGACAATTTAGTGAATTTTAATAAAAAAATAATTATACAAGTTACACATATTAATTATTATTACTTTAGGATTTACTTTTTTTTTATTCAAAATATTTTTCGATTTACCAATCGCAATTTTATTTACATTAACTTAAAATTTCTAACGCTTGGGGATTCGAACATACACCTATCTAACATTATATCGCACAGAAATCGAATACACTAACCACTATACCACGCTCGCATGGGAGTTCAAATTCATAATAGAATTTATAAAGTGCCACGAAAAGAAATGCCAAAAAACTAACACATCAGTGTTAATTATAATATTAAAAAAGATAACTAATAATTCTAGTGTAAAATCAAATTGACTGCAAAAGTAAATTTTTTTATTTATCATAAATAAATACCCTGAATAAAAAGTCGGACCGATTTCGAACTAATCCGGAATTTGTCAACAGTACAGTTTAATGAGGAGTTTTTCACCCTGAAATAAGTTTAAAATCAATACCGTTTTTTACACCTATTGAATCCGTAATTAGTCCGATTTAGTCCAAAGTTAGTCAGATCATATGCAACTAGTAATTATAATTATAGTTTGAATTTATCTGCATTTAATACAAATTGTTTTTAATATACAAATTCAATATATATCTAATTCTGGTCAAGTTTGTTTTTAAAATTCTAAAATTATATGTATTTACGTTTTTTAAATATATTACTGTTTTAAAAAGGTTAATTGTAAAAAATTAAATTTATTTACATGCTTTTAAAACGAAGAAAACTGTCGAAGCCCTGATCAGAGCCCTATTTCATATCTAGTGAACACCCCACTTAGGGGTTTTGGCCAAAAATTCTGGTCAAACCCACAAAATAAAAGAATTATTAAAACGATAGTATAATTACTTCCTTTAATTGTATTCTTCAATTGTTCATTATTTTTTATTAAAAGTAATAAATTTTAGAGATTTGATTTTTTTTACACTTTATTTAAACAAAGAAAACTGTCGAGGCCCTGATCAGTACCCTATCTAAAATCTAATGAACACCCTACCTGGGGTTCTGGCTAGGAATTCTAGTCAAACCCCTAAAGTAAAAAAATTATTAAATAACTAAAATAATGATTGCCTTTCATTGTTAATAACTTCTACAACAAAAAGGAATTCTAAAAACTGTATTAAAAAAAAAAATTTTAATAGGGAAAACTGTCGTGGCTTTAACCAGAACCCTATTTTAAATAGGGCAAAGTGGGGCATTTTCTGCACGGAAATTCCTATGTTTTTGGGTCGCTACTCGAAGAGTAATCTGTGGCGAATCATGCATGGAGTAGATGTTATGAATATAGCATAGACACTAACTAGCGAAAAGTATAAGAGTTCGCCTGAATATCAGTCGACTACATGAAAAGTTTCGAGCATTAATCCTAACAGATTTTTCTCCGTGTAAAACCGCGAAAGATCACCAAAAACTAATTCGTCTCTCCCTTTACTCCCTATAACCCCATAAATACACCCCTGGAGGGGGTTAAAATACAATTTTCACGAAAAGTCAAATACGGCGTCTAGTTCTATTTTTTTGTCTCTGAAACAGAAAAAAACCACCAAAAATAAATTTGTTCCCTCCTCCACCCCTAGCACTTTAGTACTCCTAAAGAAGAGGTTGATCTTTTCGGTTTCATGAAAAGTCGTGTATACTTTTTATGAAACCGAAAATTTTAAATCCCTTTATGGGCAGTATGAGAGTGCTAGGGCGTGAAGAAAAAAACTAATTTATTTTTGGTAGTCTTTCCGGATTTAAAGACCAAAAAAATATAGGAATAGACACCGCATTTAACTTTTCGTTAAAATTGTAATTTAAGCCTCCCCGGTAAGAAGCGTAGAATAGAAAAGAATTCAATTTCTAGAAAATATGCTTGAAAACGAGATTTTTGAATTATTATGAATACGCGAATTTACCTCGAAGCTCTATTTCAGGGGAACCATCAAAATTTTAGAAAAATCAATTCTTCTCTATTGCTCTCGTCGATTTGCAGATACACGGAGAGAAAAAGAAAGTTTTAACTGCTTTCTTTTGAGTCGTCATGCTAATTTTATAAAGTCAAGTAATGATAACCGGAGAGCCAGGCCGTTTTGACTTGGCTCTCCTGTTGAGTCTTTAGTTTTCGTCAGTCAAAAAAAAAATTTACTACTGATATCGATCCAGCCATTGACACTACTTGAGGCAGCCAGGCCAAAACTGCCTGGCTGTCAAATTGTGCTGACTTGGGAATCAGAGGTTATGTTAAGGGGAGAGCCCGGCGAAATTTGAACCTATCAAAATATCCATCGCTGAGAGGAGCCAAATTTTTTTTTAGCATCATTTTAGATGCAAAATTATAATTTGGTGTCAAATTTGAAAAAAAAAATTTGTTGGCCATTTTCAAAAAATTTTTTTTTTCAAAATTTGAATTTTTCAAAATCGATACGATTGATTGTTGGGGGACATCTGAATAGCTTGTAAAAAAAATTTCGTTAAAAAATATTAAAAATTGTAGAAGTAGTTCCACTTTTTAGGTTAAAATTTTGCAAATATTGCATTAAAAACGATCTTTTTTAACTATTATTTCTTATTTTTCACTCAAAATACACAAATACACTTACACACACATAATACATACATAAACACACATAAAAAAAAATTTTTTTATATTTAAAAAAAAATTTTTTTTTTTCAAAATTTGAATTTTTCAAAACCGATACGTTTAATTGTTGGGGGACATCTGAAAAGCTTGTAAAAAAAATTTCGTTGAAAAATATTAAAAATTGTAGAAGTAGTTCCACTTTTTAGGTTAAAATTTTGCAAATATTGCATTAAAAACGCTCTTTTTTTAACTATTATTTCTTATTTTTCACTCAAAATACACAAATACACTTACACACACATAATTCATACATAAACACATAAAAAAATACTAAAAAAACATAAACACTTTATATATAAGAAATAATAGTTAAAAAAGAGCGTTTTTAATGCAATATTTGCAAAATTTTAACCTAAAAAGTGGAACTACTTCTACAATCTTTAATATTTTTCAACGAAATTTTTTTTACAAGCTTTTCAGATGTCCCCCAACAATCAAACGTATCGGTTTTGAAAACTTCAAATTTTGAAAAAAAAAAATTTTTGAAAATGTCCAAAAAAAAATTTTTTTTAAATATAAAAAATTTTTTTTTAATGTGTGTTTATGTATGTATTATGTGTGTATAAGTGTATTTGTGTATTTTGAGTGAAAAATAAGAAATAATAGTTAAAAAAGAGCGTTTTTAATGCAATATTTGCAGAATTTTAACCTAAAAAGTGGAACTACTTCTACAATTATTAATATTTTTTAACGAAATTTTTTTTACAAGCTATTCAGATGTCCCCCAACAATCAATCGTATCGATTTTAAAAAATTCAAATTTTGAAAAAAAAAAATTTTTGAAAATGGCCAAAAAATTTTTTTTTTCAAATTTGACACCAAATTATAATTTTGCATCTAAAATGATGCTAAAAAAAATTTGGCACCTCTCAGCGATGGATATTTTGATAGGTTCAAATTTCGCCGGTCTCTCCCCTTAACGCCTGCGTCGGTCAAGTAGTTTTAACCGTGGTCTCCGGTTGGTATAACTTTCTTTTTCTCTCCGTGTAGAAAAGAATCCAAATTTTCTATTTTTCTTCATGCGCGAAATTTTATGATATTAAAAGTTATTGAAAAAAATATGGAGTTCGAGAAGTTCTATTCTTTTGAATTGACTGGATTGACTTCTAAAGATTTTAGGTAGTCAATTCAAAAGAATAGAATGTTCGACGAGTAAATATGAAATGTTTATTCTTCTCAATAGACTGCTTCAAATTTCAGAAGCGCATTAAAAGGACTACAACTTTTGACAAACAATTTGGAAAAGCCTAATCTTTACAATTGTCTGTAGGAGCTCTTCTAGTTATTGTCTTAAAATAAAACGCAGTGACAGTTATGTTTCGAGTCGTGTGAATTTCATTGTAATTTCAATGCTAAACTATTAAAATTAAATATTAAAACTAGTGAAAATATGGTTAAAAAACGCAAAGTGATTCCGATAAAATATAAAATGCTCTTACTGACAGGAATTTTCATGTGTTCAATGTTTAACGTCAAGTTTTGAAACCTAACCTCACTTTCTAGTAGAATCTTGAGTGGTATTGAGTCAATTCAATGGAATAGAAATTTCTACTGATTTGCTATAGATTCTGATTCTTTTGAATGAGCGTTTCATATTTTTGTGAAGTCAATTCAGAATAATAAATTTTTTTGAAATTTTGGTAGTTCCCGTGCAATTCTACGCTTTTTACCGGGTCCTCCAAAGGGTGTACTTATTTATGGGGTTCTAGGGAGTAAAGGAAGAGACGAATTTGTTTTTAGTGGTCTTTTTCGGTTTCAACGCGAGACCAGAGTATATCTGCGAATTTATTTAATGACGCGGATATCTCTCCCTCTCGCTTATCATTGATTTTTCAATGATAGAATTTTTTTTGCAGAATGCTGTTTCCTAATAGCTGCTGCATTTTTAAATAATTATAATTTATAAATAATATATTATTTATATAAATTATTAAAAATAAATAATTAATTAAATAAATATAATAAACAAAAATTATAAACATTAATTTATTATTATTTAATTAAAAAATTTATTTAAAAAATTTTTTTTCTCTTGGTTGCCAATATTCGGCCAATATTGGACCAATATTAACAACCAATGATTGGCGAACCCGTTACATCCCAAGCATCAGCCCATATTGGTCCAATATTGAGAGTCAATCGGCGCCCAGCACGGCAACCAATATTGGACCGATATTGGACCGTTTATAGTCTATATTGGCAATTTCTCACTGGGTAGACTTATGCCATCTGACGCCACCACTACTTTTCAGGCAGAGTAGATGGAATTAGTACATCTCTGCGTAGAATAATACTATGCAGCGATGGACTAATATTATCTACTCGCCTGAAAAGTAGTAGTGGGGGTCCGATAAAATAAGTCTATTGGCCGCCCAATGGTATAATACTAGCAGATTTCTTTCCGTGCACAAATCTATGAAAATAAACATAATTGCGAACAAGGGGAATCGAACCTACGACCTACGGACTTATAGACTAACGCTCTAACCACTATGCTAACGACGCGTGTGTGCAGTAAAGTTTTAAAATCTTAGTATCATTCAGACTTACAATTATTGAATCAAAGATGAGAAAAAAAAGGAATACGTTAAAAATAATAAATTGAAATAAAATAAATTAAACTACATTTTTAATAATTGACTTAAATAATTTAATTTTTGCATTTAACATTTTACAAGTGCTAATTATTGAATAATTTTTTATTCATAATAAGAAGTATAATAATATTTTAATAAGAATCAAATTATTGTTGAGATTAAAGTTTAAATTTTATTTATAATTTTAATTTGTTTAAATAATTTATTACTTACAAAAGTAAACAATTATGTTAAATTATTATTATCATTATTAAATGTAGTAAAAATAAAAAATGAATATCTGTAAACTAAAATATTAATTTTTTTCAATAAATTTATATTTATAAATATTCATAAATTTTTTTTATAATTTCTTTGCAGTTTATGTAAAAAAGCAATATTGGCAAAGAGCGTTTTAAATCATTTTTCTATACTCAGTCAGCACTTGCCGCTGTGGCTTGACAAGCTTTGACGAAACAAAAAGTCTGTATTGCGCCAGCACTAATTGTCGAGGCTCGGCTAGACTACAGCCGAACAATAGTCTGAGTACTAAGCCAGTGGTGAACAATGGCACTACACTAGCATTTCCCATCGGGATGAGCGCAAAGGGTATTACGACTCAGGCAAGATTTCGGGACCTCAGCTTCGTCTCGAGTGCGAAATTGTGTCCCATCTGTCCCTTATTTTATAGCTATCGTCCCAATCATCTATTTTACGCCCTTGATACGAAAATAACTATAAATAACTATAACTATAAATAACTATAACTATAAATCGAAATTAATTTCTTTTGATTTAATTACTAATATTCTATCATATTATTATTATAAATAATGAGATATCTCATTAAAAATTGAAGTTTAATAGTATTTTAAAGATAAAAAATATTATACGTATCAAAATTTCAATTTATATTTTGTACATTGTTATTAAGGCTTGAAAATGATCAGAAGCCTACAAATTTAAATTATAAAAAAGAAAAACAAGTAATGCTTCGCGTGAGAAGGAAAATGGGCTACAAACAACCGACATCTCTACTCAACGTTGCGGAAATAATATTTTCATCTTTCTTACCATCAGTTACATTATTGAAAGCAGTTATTATAAAGAACGATAAAACAGCTCTAATTTTTTCTAGTGCAAATTTAATAGAAAAATTGAATGAAGTTGACGAAATCTTTTTAGATGGAACCTTTAAAGTAAGAGACAATATTTTATTTAATAATAGCATTTAGAGGCCTTTTACGGTTAAAGATGTTCGTTTTTTACAAAAATATTGTATAAATTGCTACAAGTTTCGACTTTAATTAGGTCCTCATCAGGCAATTTTTTAAAAATAATAAATAAATTTTTAATCTTAAAACGAAAATAAGCAAATCAAAAACACATCTTGTGTTTGATCGCATTAATAATCATATAATAAAAGGTTAAATTTAAAAAAAAAATTTGAAAACCATGATGGTAAGAAAGTTCAAGATAATAAGAAAGTTCATGGTAAAAACCATCGTAATGAAAATCATTTTAAAAGGCCTCTAAATACTATTACCAATATTATTAGAAAACGGTTCTTAAATAAATATTTTATTTACATAATTAAGTTTTTTGTCATTATAATACAATTAAATTATGATATCAAAAGCAAAACCTGGAAATAATTTCTATTTAGAGTCAGTTGGGATAAATAAAAACAGATTTGCTAAGTTTTACCGATAACATAAGTTTTTTCTTTTAAATCGGAATACTTTCGATTTTCTTATGTATTGAGTTCCGTGGAACAATTTTATGGGACAGTAAAAAATATGGGTATCATTAAATCGCAATAATCAAACTAATTAATTAAAATATACGTTATGAAACATCTATAATATTAAATCAATAGAACTTATAATAAATATACAATTACAGGTTACTCCTAGAATTCCAAAAGTTTGTCAACTTTATACCATATTGATAAGGATTATGGATAAGGTAAACTGTATACATACAAAAAGAAATTTATTCTAAAATTAAATTATAAGTATTCATATGTATATACTTATATAATATATACATATGAGTGCGACACGTTCAAACTAGGAAGGCATCTTTGCACTCTACTGTACACAATCACCAGGCCGCACTGAGAAAAGTAGATATTAAAAATCTTAATATACTAGATATTAAGAAAAGATGCTAATGCATATCATCTAGATGTTATGGTTTAATATCTAAGATATTAAAGAGTATAATCTGTAAATGTGAGGTATACGTTTAAACACGTATTTTTCCAATATCTGAGATATTAAATTTGGACATCTAAGATGTTTACATATTTGACTGTCACAGATATTGACCATTAATATCTAGATACTAAAGCTTAATATCCATTTTGCTCAGTGCATTTGGTAAAAGTGAAAAACTTTTAAATTAATGAAAACATTTCGTACATTTACCATGTAAAATCGGTAAATGTGCACATTGACCAGTGTTGGTTGGTAAATATTGATATTTCATTTTGTAACCATTTTAATTTATTATTTAAATTATCTTCCGAAAACTATTATTTATTTTGACAAGGATTACTCCCATGGCATTTCGAATTGCATAACAGATTGTGTGCTTTACAGCTGCATTTTTTGTGTTACACTTCCCCTTACAGAAACATCTTTGAAATCCTTGTCCACCAGTCAAGGATTGTAAGGATACTATTTCCCGCAAAGATATTTCTATATCTGGGACATCGTCAGGAGAAAGAAATTTTTGTCTGCAGACTGTAAATTGATTTCTGTTATAACTGTGTTTTAGTCGTCCTTCTCTAGTTCCTAATAAATACTGCAATTCAATTGAATTCATTATTTAAAATAATATTTTTCGAGGTTTCATACTTCTATTTATAACCTATTTTTAACAAATCAAATTATTTATTTTTTATAAAATTATTATTTATTATTTAAACGTATATTTCATTTCACATTCTTAACGAACTTTGTACACATTACACTTCAAACTAAATTTGAAAAATCTCGCCCACAGAAAAGTTCGAATTCTGCACCTTCGGGACACAAGTCGGATATAGGGGATGATGGGGCAAGGATAGTTAGATTCTGTATTGTTTAAATGGCTTGTTCAAATTAGCATTATCATTCAAAATATTTTCGGGTCTAAATACCAATAAATGATAGTAAGAATTGGAAGTAAATCTGCCACCATTATTTATCACATTATCTCTGCTATTTCTTTTTTCATCTTCACTATCTGCCTAGGTAGAAATTCGTCAATTTGTTTTCTTCTAGTAGCTGTAGACTCAAGAGCGAGTTTTACTTGCCAAGACAATTTGGCCAGTCCTAAATAAATGACTGGCCAGTATCACTGGATAAAAGCAATTCCCCTTTGTGAACAGTACTTTTGTCAAGTCACTGGCCAGAAAATCTGATCATAATAGTGATAAGAATTTCTTTCCAGACACTGTCCAGTCACTGATTCCAAGAATTATTTAAGATTCCACCTAGAAAAACTGGTCCACCAGTGATAAGAAAAAATTGCCGATTCTTATTAAAAGAATTATTCTAGTTTTTTCCAAATCTCTAGCCAGAAAATCGTGATACACTGAAAAAAATAATAGACAAAATGTGCTTTTTACTCAGTCAATTTTTGCCTAAGAACAAAAGCAATACACGTAAAGCAATTTTTTCTTTGAAAAAAAAGTAATTTTTGCCTAAACTAAGGCAACTTTTGCCTTTATTTTCGGCAAAAAATGCTTTTTTTAAAAGAAACAATTGCTTTATTCGTATTGCTTTTGTTCTTAGGCAAAAATTGCCTGAGTAAAAAGCACATTCTGCCAGATACTAAGGAAAATAGCACCAGTCCCATAAAAATACACTCTTACTCAATCATTTATAATTAGATATTTAAAATAATTTTTATGTTCCATACGGTAAAAAACAGAAAAGTCTAAAGTAACTTTATTTAAAAGTTATGATCGTTTCACTGTCAAATAATTACCAAAGTTTATATTTTTCTAAATTTTGACAAGATAAGCCGACAAGTCTCTGACAAGTGACTAAACAGTTTATCTGCTCATAATTTCTGATCATTACTTCTGAAAAATCACTGGCCAGAAATTCTTGTCACAATCGGAATAGAACTTCAGTTCTTAAACTTGTAGTTATGATAAGTTACTATCTAGACATCGTGGCTGCGTGTGGTTCGATCCCCCATGCGTGAGAATTTTTCATTCTTACTCTCTCTTCTTTTTTTAAGTGCATATGCACTTATTCATGTTTCAAAACTCTTCCACGTAAAAATAAGTGCATATACACGTAAAATAAGTGAAATTTCACTTATGAGTAAATTGAATTTCACTTATTTCAAGTGTATATGCACTTATTTTTTTACGTGGAAGAGTATTGACTTATTCAGATTTAGAGAGTAGATTTAAGTGTTATTAGTAGAGTAATTGTTCATTAGTCTTAAATATTTGATTAAACACAAAAATATAAATAAATATTTAATTATAAACAAAATAAAAAGAACCAGGAAAAATTATATTTTATTCTAGATTTTGAGCAGAAAACTGTCCAGTTACTGGTCATTTACTTACCAATCACTGGCCAGATAATCTAACCATTGACTGCTAAAGCAGCGCGTTACATTTCTAATCAATCACTTGCCAGATTTTCTGATCAATCACTAATCAGAATCTAGAAAAACTTTCCATTTGTAATGATAGGGTTTTTATTTGCTGGGAATTCGCTCGCCGGATGGAGTTCGGGTTCCCTTAAATATTAATTAAATAAATAATTATCCATAGTTAATGGCGTAAAGCGCCATCTATTGAGCTTAACTTGATTTCTGTGATTCTGAGTAAAGGTGTAGTCAATAACGAGGCGAGAATTAAACCTTCGAAAGAAAAGTATATTATAATAAAATAATATTTTACAAAAAATAATAAATAATTAGAAATTATTAACAATAATAAAGTAGAAAATAATAATAATAATTCCAGTACGACGAAAATAAAATAATGATCGAGAATCTAATCGAGAAATAATAATAACAATATAATTTCGAGACGCGAGTAAATTAACATTTACTAATCAAATAATTATTAACAATAAAAATAACTAAAATGCGAGTAATAAAATATTCGAAACTAGTTTACATAGATTTTCCTTTTGTCTGAAACTATCGCATACTATCGAGTTTATAATTCACGAAACTAGTCTAGAATTCATTCCATAATCTATCATGACCGACGCGACCAAGACGTGCACTCTGAGGAAACTGAATCTGCTCTTCGTTAAGGCAGAAACAAGATTCTAATACCGGAAACGCTGCCGATATTCTTGTCCGACGCGAAAGATTTGTGAATTAGGAACTCAACGGTCGATTTCTTGTCCAGAGTGCTCCCTGAGAGAAGAAATCATCTCCGTAGCTTAGCCTCAGGTGCAATAAGAGCTCCTACATACACCTGGGGGGCAGAGTATAGAAATAGGAAATCTTTACCACGAGGTCCTCTCGTGAGAGCTCCCGCAGGGAGGTCCAAGTGGTAAAATGGCTAGGGAGTGAGTTCGTAACCATCCTTCCCAAGGAGCTCCTTGAAGCATGTCAGGCTACGTACTGAGGAGTTTGAATCGTGTCGCGAGATATAAGAGTTTCGCTCTGTCGCGGTACGAAGAGAGCGAGTGGTGGGGGGGAGCGACTGCAGGCGGCGCGAATTACGTGCGCGTTTGCTACTCTCTCCTTGCATTAACGCAAAATACGACGACGATGGCTGTACTGTACAATGCATGCAATTTGCTATATTATAGCCCATCGTTACACATTGATTGGTCATTATAGAGTTCAAATTTCTACCTGGGTGCATTAATACCAGCAAACCTTCCTAATAGTCTAATCCTTATGTTGCAACTCAAAATGAGCTCATGTTAAACGCCATATAACGTGGCGCTACCTACTAGGTTCATTTTGTTGCGTTTCAAATTAAGTAGCGTAGGCTACTCAATTTGAACCTAGGTTTTTTCAATGTTGAAATCTCCAACAATCACTCATTTCTCTTCTAGAAATTCCGCTTCTTCCAACCTTTCAAAAATTTTAACAGTATTTGATAATACTCACTATTTTCATAATTACATACTGTCCACACAACAGATATCCCATGTTCATTAATTATTTAAGTTTCTATAACTTCTTCCTCCAGTTGTGTAATTTGACTTTTCTATACACCGATCCTTTTTAATGCCTAATATATACCCATCCATTGCCCTTCCCTTTTTTTCTTTTTTTTGACAATATGAATTCATAATTAAAATCCGTAGAAAGTTTGTTTTTTATTTTATTTAACATCTTTTTTTCCAAACCAAGTTTCTATAACAGTTTAATTCAAATAGGCTGTTGGAGCTGTTTTTATTTTGATGACACGCAGATCAAGTGATTTGTATACAGCAGTGTTTGAAAAATTAAATGAGTTTTGCCCAATGTTGACAGAAAAATTACGAATGGTAATGGGAGACTGCGAAGCAGCTGTCATGAAGAGCATAAGGGAAACTTATTCAAATTGCCGTATACAGAATCTGTTGGTTTCATTCAAAGAAGGTAAAAGTCATAAAAAAAATTGTATCATACACCTTAGAATGGATTGTTTAGAAACTCGAAAATAAACAATTATTTATTTTTATGTTTTTGGTTACACACTTTCTTCAATAAAAAAAATGTGTATGTGTACCGATTTTTATCTCACTAAATTCAAAAACACAAGTCAAAAGATGTTGTTAAAATCGATAAAGATTTTTAAATAAAGAATTCATTAAAATCCAAACAACTTTGATATCCTCTTAATAGTAAATATTCATATTAGATTTATTAAAGGGGAGTGACACCTTTGACCCGAAAAAATATTGATTTTATTTATTTTTTGCTTAAACGATACTTTATGAGGTGTAGAATAGAAATGATATCATGAGAAGTAATTTCAAAGTTATTTTATGTGAAACAAATCGATATCTGGAAAAGGTGTCCAAGAGCGCTTCGAGTTATTTTAGCACCAATGGCTATTTTTTTATCGCAGCAGCTCAAGAATACAAAAGACAGCTTCAAATTATTCGAAAGGATGGAAATGAAGAAAATATTAATGTAGAAAGTCACTTATATGGTGCAGGCATCATAGATTAACAGTGGTTTCATTTTTCATATTTTCACATTACATAAGTTTAAATGCGTTTTCTCGAAGTGACATTTTTCAAAACGGTGGGCAATCTAGCCAGAACAGTTTTGATTAGACTGACTTCGTCAGCTAAATCTATCACAGATTCAGAAAAACCTTGAATTTTTGTTTTCGATTAAACGGTTTAATCAGAAATATTGTCCACCGATTTGCCCTACATAGAAACGAGACTAACTTCGGCGCCCTCTATATGCAACAAATTGAAATTTTTTTTAAGTATAATATATTTTCTTAAACTTAAAAAGTTAATAAATAAAGGTCCCCCCAAACCAAATTTTGTTTACATTATTCCTGTATCTTAAAAAAATTCATGAAAAACAGGTTCAAAAGGCACCTCAAAGGTACGTGTCACTCCCCCTTATAGAAAATATTATACTACACAAAATTTGCAAAACTAAAATGTACATTTAATCAACATAAAATTTCTTACCTCCACTTGTTTAATTATCAGTCAGTTCGAGAATATTGGGAAAGCACGTGTAAATTAAAGAATGCTAATGAACTTATTCTGGAAATGGCATCAAACTTGCCATTACTTCCAGTCAATAAGTTTTTAGACGGTATTGATGAAATAGAAAAGGAAATAAACAATTACCCTGAAAAGTACCACGAAAAATTAATAAAATTCATCAAATATCTGAGAAAATATTGGGGCCCGAAGAAAATAATTATTGTGTTGGAGATCTTATTCACAGAACCAATAATTTAAGTGAGTCGGCAAATAAGAGACTTTTACTCGATTAGGAGGACTACATCCAGGAATCTGGAA